GATATATGATGGCTAGTGAGAGAAAGTTTTCCGGCAAAGCTCCGGCCACTTCTCCGGCGGCAGGGAGGACACCTTCCTCTAAACACTCCTTCCCAAAATTGTTCTCTGCTTTATTTTCTACTTCTAATCTGCGCCCCTTAGGGAGGGTTGAAAATCTTAGGAATGGGATACCCTCAGCCTCATTCTCTCTGGAAGAAGAAGAAGAACTTGCAGATTCTTTGAAGTTTGCCGTTTTGGGCAGGTGCAACAACGAAGTGAACCTTCAAAGTTTAAAAAGGTGGTGCTTTTCATTTTTAGGACGGAGGAAGACTTTGTCAGATTTCTAAGAAGAAGAGACTGGTATGTTGGTTCTTCCCATTTTGTAGTTTGTAAGTGGGCAAAAAATCTTAGGTCCTTTGGGGATAATCCTGTGTTTCCAATATGGGTTACCCTCCATCAAGTTCCCCTTCACCTAATAAATTTTCAAGCCCTTTTTACTCTTGCTTCCACACTTGGTCGTCCTATCCAACTCGATGATAAAACTGCCCGTTTGGATAGGGGTACAGAGGCCAGGGTCCTTATTGAGAGAGATACATCTCTACCCCTACCAAAGTCTATACACTTACGTTTAGGGAACAAGGACTTTATCATTCCTTGCTCGTTTGATTCAGACCCTGGTTTCTGTACTTCATGCAAAAAAATGGGTCATGCCTCTCCTAGTTGCAAAGCACAATTACCTACCGGGAAACTCACCGGAAAGGGTAAAGCTGTTGAACTTGGAGATACTGGGGATCAGCCTTGGAATACAGCCAAAGGGAAAAAGAAAAATACAAGCAGATTGATAACCCCTGTCAACAGTCATTACAATCAGAAGTGGGTCATTAAGGAGAGGACTGGAACAACAACTATCTGCCAAAATTCTTTCCACTTGCTAGATCAATCCGTGGACACCCAGCCTTCTCACAACATTGCTCCCAACAACCCTCCAAATAATCTCAGCCACACCACTTGCACTTCACTGCCTTCTGGGCCACACTCTCCATCTTGCAGCAGGGACCCACCTGATACTAACACTATACACGAGGAGTTTTTTCCATCCCTATCAGAAGCGAAGGAATATGCCAAGAAAATTCCCAAAAGCCAGCAACAAGTAACATTTAGTGTTAATACACCCACCTTGATCTCCATGGATGACTGTCTCCACAGAAATGCTGATCTGGGTCTTGGCTTCCTTCTGGGCCCCTAGCATTGCCACAACTCACCTGCAAAATCCAACAATGCCTTTCAACTTGGGTATCACTCAGAAGGTGATGACACGGAAATTATGAATAAATCAAACTTGGAGGCCTTTAATATTACAACCCCAGGTCCCAATTCTACAAGTATCTCTGTACCCAAAGCTACCAGGAACAAAAAGGCTCATTTCAGCCCTAAAATGCTCACTAGAAGCATGAAGGGGAAAACAGATGTTATTTTTTATCAGTTGACATGAACATTTTATTCTGGAACGTTTGTGGTATTACCCCATCTGTAAATAGACTCATCTCTCTCTCCAAGTCTTCTAATTTTGATTTCATTGCTATCTTTGAGCCTATGATTAAGGAGTTCAAAATCAACAGTGTTAGATCTTCTCTGGGTTTCTCTAACTGTGCTTCAGCTCTAAACAATAAACTTTGGGTATTCCGGCATGGTCAGAGACTCAGTCTATCCCATGTACAGGAGTTTGATCAGATGTTCTCTTGTCATTTCTGGGACAACCTTCTCAATATTAAATGCTGCATCTCCTCAGTTTATGGTAAACATACTGGAATTGAAAGAAGGCAACTCTGGAATGACATATCTAATAATAATATTGTTGATACCCTTTGGATTGTTGGGGGAGATTTCAATGCTATATCCTCCATTGATGAACATAAAGGCACATCTACTCCTAACCTCACAGACATTACTGAATTTAAAGACTGTTTTGAGGCCATCCCTCTTATCAGCCCCTCCTTCACAGGGGGGTTGTACACATGGAGTGGGGTCAGGGGTAGAGGAAGGTTATGGAGGAGGCTGGATAGAGCTTTGGTTAACTCAAAGGCAATGGATTTCTTTTCTGAAGTTACTATCAAACATCTTAGCAGAGCGACCTCTGATCATAAACCTATTTTCTTACACTGCTCACTGGACTCCTTCAAGGGAGCCAAGCATTTTAGATTCCAAGATTTCTGGATATCACACCATTCCTTCTATAAAGTAGTGGAGGACTACTGGAATATGCAACCAATGATTGGAGGAATGAGGGGCCTGGCTGTAAAACTACAGGGACTGAAACCTATTCTCAAAGCCTGAAGTAAGGATACTTTTGGAGATATTTTTGAAACTGTCAAGAAGGCTGAACTTAAAGCTTTAAAGGCACAAGAGGACTATGAAACTAACCCCGAGGACACTCTAAAATGCCTTGCTAATCAAGCCAATGCTGAACTTATAGTGGCTTCAAACAGAGTAACCACCTATTGGAAACAAAAAGCTCACCTAAAGTGGATGGAACTTGGTGACCAAAACTCTTCCTTCTTCCACTCCTATGTGAAGGGTAGGAGAGCTAGTCTGAAGATTAGATCAGTTTCAACAGCTGGGGGCAAAAAACTCTTCCAGGAGGAGGATATTAAAAATGAGGCTGTGGAATACTTCAAAAATGTCTTCAGCAGTATCACTTTAGTGGATGACCAGGAGATTCTTAGACATATTCCTACACTAATCACCACTGAGGACAATAACTCCATGACACTAATTCCTAAGGAAGAAGAAATCAAAAAGGCAGTGTGGGAGCTTAATCCTAATGCAGCATCAGGTCCAGACGGATACAAGGAGTTTTCTTCAGAACTTGTTGGAGCATTATTAAGGAGGATGTGGTGAAAGCTTCTCAAGAATTCTTTATGGGTCTCCCTATCCCTAAATCTTTTGGATCAACTTTCATCACCCTAATCCCTAAAAAGGAGGACTGCAAGAGCTTCTCTGACTTCAGGCCCATCTCACTCTCAACTTTTATGAGCAAGATAAACTCCAGGATACTCA